CAAACCCCGCGGAGGAAAAAAAAGCAAAACATCCAAACCCCCCCCCCCAAAAAAAAAAAAAAAAAAACGGGAAAAAAGAAGAAAACAAACATGGGGGAAAAACAACTTCTGTTGACAGCATTTCTATGCACATTACCCACTCTGAACCCCCAAGAAACAAAAAAAAAGATCACCCAACGGCACCTCCAGGGCCGGCATCTTCTTGAAGACCCAGGCCACCAGGTCTCCACCCCGGTTTGGCAGCCGCTCCGTCACTGCCAGCCTCTCGGTTTTCGCGTTGTTTTCTTCATTTTGTTCCTTCTTTTTTTCGCGCCGTTTTTATTTTTTGTTTCTTCGCGCTTGTTGTTTTTCCCTCTCCTTTTTCATTTCTCGTGTTGATGTTCTTTCTTTTGTTTCTCGCTTTGCTTTTCCTTCTTTTTGAATTTTTTCGGGGGATCGGTTACATGTGGCTACATGTGGTTCCGGCTCAGCGGCGCAGAAGCCATCAGAACCGGAAGGTTCAGGTGGCTATTTTTGTCAAAAAATGCGTGCCCAAAAAATGGGTTGCCCTGGGAAATGGAACCAAGGACTAAAACCCTGCGGTTTTCGTGGTGGCTTTATTTTGACTCATACCCGGGTGTCCCCAGCCCCCAGAACCCCCCGAACAAATCTCGGAACCCTCCCCGGAAAGCTGCGAACCACCAACCCCAGAAAGCAGGCTGCTCGCCAAAAAAAATCCGAGGGGTTCTCAGTTTTGAGACGGACCCTTTGTGGGCTGTGGTCATGCTTCCTTTGCGAAGAAAGACTCTCGAATTATGAAAAACTCCCTAAGTCTATCTCTCCCAACCGAAAGTAAAAGGGTGTTTTGGACTCTAAAAGAACACACGGAAACCATCCATGAGGTCCCTCTTTACTTTTGAGACCAGCGGCACGAGGAGGTGTAGGAGGCCCCAACCCTCGTGGAAGGTCGTCTCGTGCAGGCTCGGGACCTTCCGAAAAAGCCCAGCCTTGAGGAAACTGTTTGTGGAAAACTTCGTGAAACCATACTGGGGTTCCGCGGTTAGCTCCCTTGCAGGAAAGCCCAAGGCTTAAGGCTAACACTTCAGGGGGTCAGCGGGACCACCTCTATGGTGTCAGGATTTTGTGGGGCAAGACAGTGAATTTCATTCAATTCGCAAAGAAGTAGCTTTCAAAAGGACTTGGATTGTTTTTTTTGGGCCAGCTTTGAGTTGTTTTGCCCACAGCTAGCAAATGAGAAGAGTCCATCTGTCAGTTTCTCAGGATCCCTTTTTTGGTGGGTGGACCTGCCTAAAGAAAAAGGGACTTTGAGGGCCCGCCCTGAAGCCGGTGGACTGCCTGGAAGGCCAAGCCGACTCGCCAAGGATCTTGGCCCGGCAAAGGATCGGTCTGGGTTTTTTAGAGCGGGTGTTTCTCAAAAGCTTGGGCCAGTATTTTGATGGAAAGGGAAACTGAAAGGATCTAACGGATTGGATGCGCTTCTTGGTGTATGTCATTTCTTCTTCCCCCTGTTGCTCCTTTAGAAGCCTTTGCGTACTCTTTCACATCCTAGTTTTAGATCCACAGATGCGCCACCTCCAAAAACCGTTTTCTACAAAAAAAGTATCTTCGGCAAATGGCTCAAATGGCTCGGCTCCGAAAACCGAAATCGAAAAATCGGCCTCCTGCAGCAGCAGCTGCGCCATGTGGTTGTGCCCCCCATGGCAAGCGCTGTGCAGCGCGGTCCAGCCGTCGGCTGCAAAGTGGGCGAAGACGTCCGCGGAGTGGGACAGCAGCAGCCGGGCCATCTTCACGTTGGCCTCTGGGAATTCAGGTCAGCAATGCCTTTTCCACTGAAATGAACAGCCTCCCTTGAACAGGGGTGTCTACACCAAACAGTGGAAAAGGCAAACCATGATTCCAGCAGGCGGGCACCACCTAAGAAGCCATTGAAGCCATAATGTTTGTTGGTATCAGTTTGGGGACTCGAATCAGCAACCAGGGGTGTCTTGGGTGGGAAATGGAGTTCGTCCATTATTTACGTTGGAGTTGTTTCTCCAAACCGCTGGTCTTTGGAATTCCAAACTCCTTTGGGTTTCTTAGGTGGGAAATGGTTTTCGTCCATCCACAGCCGTTCTTCGGCCCCATGAGCTGTGTTCCGTGGGAAATGGCCGTGACTCGAAAACGGGGTACCCCGCAACTTGGGTTTCATGGATTTACTATGTCCCACTCGTTTGGGAAGTGTCCCAAACGAGGTGACCACTTTCGTGTGCGAAAGGAAATGAGGGTGTTGGGACCTCCAACTTGGATCATATGCTGTTTCAGAGCCCCAGCAAAAAAAGCTACTGATAGTGACTTACTTTTAGTCACCCTTGGCCAGGAAGAACAACCTTCTCATGGCTACCCTGGAGGCTCTATGGGTATCCTATTTCAGCAGAATCTGGAGCTGAAGGATATGCAGCCAAACCAATTTCCGAAGCAAATCCAGGACCAATGAACCACATGGCGTTGCCTCTTTCAGGCTCCGAGACTCGGAAAAAAAACACCCCGTGAGGTGGAAGCCATGAAGTGAGTGTGCCCAAACAAAACAACAAATGTGTGTGTGTGTGTGTGTGCCTGTGCGTGGTGGTGTGTTTTTTTGCGGTGGCTTTTGTGCTTTCCCCTGTCGAATGAACGGAACATATGAGTTGGCCCCACGTTCAGAGGCACAGAAATGATACCCTTGGATAAATTCAGTCTACTTTTCAAGAAGCCTCGCGTCCCACTTAAAGTCTTTTGGACAAGCCTGGCGTTCCACACCTTTCCTCCAGCTTTCATTCACGTAAACAATCAAACAAACAAACAAACAAACGGACAAACAAATAGACAAATGGACAAATAGACAAATAGACAAGACAAACAACCAACCGACCAGGTTGCATTTGTATTATGAAACATAGATTCTATGCCTTAATGTATATATGTCAAATATATAGAGGTTCCCCAAACACCCCAACCGCCCCCTTCCGATGCTTCCGCCTCCCACCCGCCCCCGGCCCTTGGCTTCTCCGCCGCTTCCGGACCCCGCCTCCGCGCAGGCGCAGCGCAGCGGGGTCTGGAGGTTCAGCGGCGCCTGGAGGTCCGCGAAGTCCACCTCCGCCGTCTCCAGCGCCTCCGTGGCCTGGGAGATGGCGTTCTCCTCGCGGATGGAGTCGAATGGGAGAAACCCCCCGCCTTTCCGCGGTTGCAACGACCCCTCTGCAAAAAGTGAATCACTTCTTGTGGGTTGAGTGGAAACCCGCTTGATTTCCCAAGAAGTGAAAGTCTAAAGATCCAACCCAATGGCAGTCAAGTTTTTGGGGTTGGCTTAAAGGGAAACCACAACGAAAGGTGCCTTCCTCCCACTTTTGGCATGGGTAGCGGGTCAGATTCGGGTCTCCAAATCCCTAGCCCAAGACCTCACGATTTTGAGGCCTCAAAAGTAGTCCAAGGCCCTCAGATTTAGGGTCTTGGGCTTGCAGGGAATGGGGAAAAGCCACCCTTTCAAGGTTGGCTTACAGGGAAACGAGGAAGGGTCTCATGGGAAACTGGCTGAAAGCTCAGATGCCCAGTGGAAGAATCATGGGGAAAAAAAAAGAATCTGCATCCAATTTTTGCTTGGTTGGTTGGGGACGCCAACATTCGGCCGCACATCTGTGCACTTGGGCGCGGACGCAAACATTCAGTCGTGCATGTGTGATGTCGACTGTTTGTGCCCTTGGCCGTGGACACTAAAATGCAGCCGTGAATGTATGCTGTCAGCTGTGCGCCTGCACTTGGGTGTGGACGCCAACTTTCGGCCGTACTTTGATGTCGACTGTGTGTGCACTTGGGCGTGGACAGTAACATTCGGTTGTGCATGTGTGATGTCGATTGTGCGTGCACTTGGGGGTGCACGTTGGGCGAGCCTGTGTGTAGCATCGGCTCTTACACGTGGACGCTGACACTTGGCCGTACACGTGCTGTCGACGCCATTGTGAAGACCTGAAAAAATGGAACAGTCACCCTGAATCAGATGGTCCGGGGCCTTTGTGGGGCAGTTTTCTACCTGTCGTGAGGGTTGGTTTTCCAATGCCGGCAGGCCGGCTGCGTTCTTGGCAGCGCACGCTGCCTCGGCTCCCTGGGTCCTTCACAGCCTGGAGCAGCCGCAAGTTCTCCACCAGCTGCTCCTCGTGCACCGGAGCATAGCTGCCCATGGCGAAGCAGCGCCGGCGAAGCCGCGGAGGCTCCGAGGCGGGGCGAGGAAGGCTCGAGTTGGGGATAAGCTTTTGGTGAAATCTGGACATGTTCAAGTTGGATGTCCGATGAGCTGAGAATATGCGAGGTCTGTTCCAAAAAGCATACCAAGTATGGCAGGCGCCTTCAGAAGCCAACTGTCGTTCTTGCCCACTTGTAAACACGAAAGTGGCCAACCTGCATCAGTACCAAGTGACAATTCTTGGGAAAGAAAGTGCCGGCATTGCCAAAAATGTACCCCGAGGGTTTTTGCTTGCTCTGATGCGTGCGGATCAGCATGCCCGTGCTTGGTCGTTGCTTCGTGGATGTGGTCTTCCAGCCGGGCATTTGGCCTTCGCATCTCAAACCCTCCCGGCTCCGAGCATTGGATCCAGCCACCTCTCGGACAGCTGGCACAAACATGGGCGGTGTCCGGATCTAAGTGACAAGCAGCGGTTGGGCAAACCAAGGGCCATGAAACCATGAAACATGCAACTTTGGATGCGCAGTTGTCCTTCGAAAAAGAAAAAAATGGCACACCTCAAGCCAGAATCTGACACTTGTGGGCGCCGCGGATTCTCCAAACTGGGCCTCTTTCCAACCAGCCTGAAAGGGCGCGCCCATTCAAACCTCTGGCCCCGCCAATTCATGGCAATGGGACTTGCCTACAGCCTGGTGCTGGTCAAGTCGCCCTCGCACCCGAAAGAACGGCCAAGGAACCACCTCCCCGACACAACCCACAACCCCCCGAGCCACGTCAGGCTTTAGGCCACGAATCAGCTTCCCCTCGCCTTCATGGCAATGTCATCCAGGGTGCCCGTGAAGTTGTTCAGGATCGTCTGAAACTTCTGGTCCTAGTGATCTAAGGTCTAGCGAGTCTAGACATGGTCGCAAATATCTGCACCTGTGGCAAAAGACCACCTGACGGCAAGAGACCAACTGACCGGATAGGATAGATTCACGAAGCCGGCCACAGTGGGGAAAATAGAACACGCTTCTTCCAGCCGCTTTCAACCAAGAACCGACGCCGGAGGAAAACCAAAAGCAGCCGCAGTGAAACTGCTTGCTTCCAAGCCTTTAATCAAAAACCGTCGCACCAATCACTTCAATCTAAACTGTCACAGTGGGAAAACAGTCGCTGGGCCCCTTGAGCCAACAAACCTCCCACTGCGGACGTGGCGTTGGTTGAAGTGGTGACAAAAGAACGGTTTGCTTCCACTGTGACTCTCTTTTGGTTGAGGCCTTTGGAAGAGAACCTGTCGTTGCCGCTGCGACTGTCTTTGGTTAGAGTGGGCAGAAGGAACCATGCTCCCCCCACGGGGTGATGAACGTAACAACCACTTCGACGCCACGGCAATAGTTAGAGAAAGATTGCCGTCGTCCAAACACATTAACCCAAACCAACTGGCACAGTTGAATACAAAACTGTACTTGTGCCACCATTTCTCCCCAAAGACCGTCATAGTTAGAGAGAACATGCTTCGTCCAACCGCGCTGATCCTAAAAAATCAGCTGGAGAAAAACGTGTTTCTTCAGAACACGTTGTTCCAAACACCAGTCTCGGTGGGATAAAGCATAGCTCGGTCATTCTAACCACTTTGACAAAGCGAGACACTTCCCAAACATAATCGCAACTGGAGGAACGCTGTCCGTCTCCACAATCCAACTTGCACAGCATCTTGGAAAGCATGGCCAAATCTTTGGGCCAAATGAAACATGCATTCCATTGAGAAGGGAAAAGCGGGAACATAAGAAGCGGGTATGTGTGGTTTGTGATATATATATATATATATCAACAAAAGATTGCATATTTCGCACACGGTGACGAAGTTCCTATTCAAGCATTGTCTTTTTTGGTTGAATTAGGGAGCAATGGGAGACAACAAAAGTCTCAATGGGGGACGGGAAGCTGTCTTTGCCCAACCACTTCAACACATTCCCTTAAAACGATCCCACAGGCAACTGTCCTCCAACCACTTTATCCCGACAAGAAGACTATACAGCTGTGGTTGGCTGGCGATCTTAAACCCTCCCATAGAAAAACGAGTTGCCTACATCTCCCTTGTTGAACATGACCCACCAGAAGGACAACTACATCAAACTGGCTGCTCCAAAAGGTGCATATTTTGGCTGCAACACGCTACCAGCTCAGAAATTAGCGCCCCGAGGTCTTTTAATTAGACCATGGCGGAATAGCGTTTCCAGTGATCTATGTTTTGACGCCCGCATCTGTTGGAGATACTTGCCCCTTACTAGATGAGTCATTTGATTCATGAGAGGTGACTGAAGGTTGAAGATCCTAGAAGATCCCAAACTGCGCCTGTCTACCTTGGGTCCTTCCCACTAAGGAGGACCTATGCGTGGAATCGTTGCTATCAAACACAGAGTGAGCATCCTTGCACGCCTCGATTGGTCAATTTGCTCTTGGTCAACTGTGTTGTGTACGCGGCATGGTGGATCCATGTTCAAAGAGGAGTTGCTTCATTGGGGTGATCTAAAAAATATGTCCTGCTAAGGTTCTGTTCCTCCTGCACCATGCTTCAGAAAGTCTTACATGTTTGTAGTTTGAGGTGTCCATCAAAGCTTGAACTACTTTCTGGTCAGTCCATCTTCGATTTACTTGCATGTGGTACCTGCAGTACGCGTCGAAGCGTGTTCCTTTAGAATGCGTCAATGCGATCTTGTTCCGTGTGCTTTAGGTGTATCGTTTCTAAGGTATATAGCAGTTTGCTATAAACCACTGAGTTTAGGATTCTGAGTTTCCATGTCCTTATGGTTCTTGCTTTGGACTGTGCTATTGGCCTCTCCGACCTTTTTCAAGACTTCCTTATGGTTTGTCTACAGCGTGCGTACGTGTGGCAACAAGAAAATCTGCTTGTGTGCTACGCCGAACATTGAGCTGTGGATTGTATTTTTGGGATTCAGACTTGATCCGATGCGGAAGTTTGCTAATGGTATGTGTGTTTGCACTCGAAAAAACTAATGTGTCATCAAAGCCCTCTATAGGCTCCTTTCGTTTAGGAGTATTCAGCTCATGGTTTGTTTCGGAGAATTCAGTATTCAGCACCAGGTGAGGTTCGAAACCACAAAAGAGGGCATTTGGGCTTGTCTCAATCTCGGGGACACCCTGCAAAAAGAAATCCTCGAAGGCAATTTGGCAAAGCAAACTCTAAATTGTGCGTTTGCCACCTGGTTCGACTGGCCACAATGTGTCCCAACTTTCCGTTGGCCAACTTTCCTGGCACACACACACACATTACAAAGTCCAGGAACTCAAATGGGGGAGGAAAAAAAAAGACGGGGACCCCAATACAAAAACCTCAGATTCCCCGAGAAACGGACCCCGCCCCCTCACCCCCCCCCCCCAATCCTCAGCCTGGAGACGCTCCGCCTCTTTTCTCGCCTGGGCCAGTGCCTGGCACCGGACGAAGCCCCTCCGTTTTGCAGGTGTTCCAGGCGTGGGGGGTAGGTTGGGTGAGGTTGGGGTGGGGGGTGGGGTGGGTGGGGGTAAGTGAGGGTGATCTCCCAACTACAAAATCCAGGGGTGATTGTCCAGTTGTGTTCCAGGGCTGATTTTACAAGAGAAATCGAAGTCCAGGCGTGATTTCCCAACTACAAAATCCGAAGGTGATTGTTCAGGGGTGTTCCTGGGGCGATTTTAAAAGAGAAATCGAATTCCAGGCGTGATTTCCCACCTACAAAATCCAGGGGTGATTGTCCAGGGGTGATTTTACAAGAGAATTCGAATGCCAGGCGTGATTTTCCAACTACAAAATCCAGGGGCGATTGTCCAGGGGTGTTCCAGGGGTGATTTTACAAGAGAAATCGAAGTTCAGGGGTGATTTTGAAAGAGAAATCGAGGTCCCAATCCAAACCAATTGAGGGGTTGGCTCTCTTGTTCATAGTGAGCAAGGATCAGCACACATGCGGAGATTCAACCAGGAAATGGGTCGGAAATCCAACAGTATTCACGTTGGGCTTCGTCCAAGTTGGAAGGATAACAATCTTATTTGAACACTGGCTTTCAACCGCGCACAGATAGGTTTTGCCCATCTAATAGTAGGAATGCCCGTTTTTTTTTCCGAGTTGTCATGCCTGCGGAGGGTTGGAGAGAGGACCCCCGTTTTCTGATTACAGAGTAACTACTTAGATTTGCAGGAGGTCTGCTGTACGGACTGTTTTAGGGCCGGGGTGCTGCGCCGCCTTTGAAGGGTCAAAACGGGTTACCATTGCAGTTTTGCTGGTTGGGGTTTCGCCTGCGCGAAGCATCCCTGTCTTGGTGCAGCAGCCTGCATGATTCGGCACCCCTGCTGGCCACCTTTGTTCGGCGAGCAAACAATTCTTTGCACCCGTCTCGGGGAAAGCTATTCGGAGGCAAAACCCCGCAAAACACACGAAGCCATATGGTGTCTGCTTCGGGCCGACGTGACTCTGCATCCGCCCTGCTTTTCGCCTGCCCAGTGCGAAGCCGCACAAACAAGCGCGTCTCCCCTGCGAGGGCGCGTCGGTTAGCTCCGTCTTGGAGGGAAGGCGCAGAGCACCTTGACATCTGAAGAGGGCCCTGAGCATTTAGCTTTGGCACGTGAAAGGCGGCAGTCCGAGATCCAGCTCTTTCTGCTTTTCTCCTTTGGGAAGACTATCCCCCCCACCCCCAAAACAAGGGCCAGATGGTAGCCTTTTTCAATGGTTCGCTCTCATCGCTTTGTCATGTTGTTGTTTTTTGGGTTTGCGTGTTGGGCTCCTACTTTCCAACGCACAGCTTGGCACACTCTTAAACTCAAGCCTTACTGCTCTTCACAGAACAGAGAACATGCTAGAGTTGCATGTGCTGTCGGCTACCTGCAACCGCAATGGCGCTTTGCGGTCGGCCGCAATTAGACAAAACCACGAGTTTATGAGCCTCGAGCATGCATTGAGACACCGCGCTGCCTTGAAAGACTCAATTTCAAGCTCACATTTCTTGCACAAGATGTCTGACGCGCGCTTTCTCAAGCAAGTTGGCTTGCGCAATTCGCTGCGTGAGTTCTCTTGTGCAATTGGCTGCGCGCATGCAATTTGACGCGTGTTTTCTCGTGCAACTTGCTGCGCACGTTCTCTCGCGCAACTAGCTCTGCGCGCGCTCGCGCGCTTCTTGCCCAGCGTGTGCTCTCGTCGCTCTCGGGTAGGCCCTCATCGGTTTTCGGACTCGAAGGGCCTGATCCTATCGCTAGTAAAGCAAACGGGCACCGAACGCTGTGTTTGTGTGTGCATCAATAGCTCCATATATGTATACGCCTGCAGATTCTTGCTGTTTTTGCTCATGGCCGACCAATCGCTCGTGAAAATGCGGAAACTCAAACAGACCTACGTTGATCGTGCGCAAGACACTCCGGTAGTTGCGCATCATCCACGCATAGGGTCAAAAACTCGAGAAGAAGGTTTGCGGTTTGCAGGTGTTTTTGACATAATTGTGTGTGTCATGTGTTCGTGTTCGTGCGTGTGTGTGTGTGTGCGCTTGTGCGTGCGCGTGCGCGTGTGCGTGTGCGTGTGCGTGTGCGAGTGCGAGTGCGAGTGCGAGTGCGAGTGCGAGTGCGAGTGCGAGTGCGAGTGCGTGTGGGTGGGTGGGTGGGTGGGTGCGTGCGTGCGTGCGTGCGTGCGTGCGTGCGTGCGTGCGTGCGTGCGTGCGTGCGTTGGTGCGTGCGTGCGTGCGTGCGTGCGTGCGTGCGTGCGTGCGTGCGTGCGTGCGTGCGTGCGTGCGTGCGTGCGTGCGTGCGTGCGTGCGTGCGTGCGTGCGTGCGTGCGTGCGTGCGTGCGGGCGTGCGTGCGTGCGTGCGTGCGTGCGTGCGGGCGTGCGTGCGTGCGTGCGTGC